ATTTGTCTGAGAGCCCATTTCATCACAAGCAAAGGGTGGATAGTCAAGAGGGGTCAGGGTTTGGGTCCAAATGAATAGGATCTTAATTAATCCAGCTCACTGAGGTATTACACTGAAGAATTAGCAAGAAACCACATTCTCATAAACAGAGGTAAGTTTGGCATGAGGACATTTGTAGCAGTCAAACATGATCTGCTTTGGCTTTTTATTAATTTCCTGGAAATAAACAAAAATCAAGGGATTCAAGCTTTTACTACCTTGACTTCAACTGGCCAGTCAATAGTTGCTACAGCTAGGACAGGTGATGTGCACTCTGAGTTCTATTCAGAGATCCAAAGTGATTAGAGTAGCTCTTCTGATACAAAGAAAGCATGTTTGTAGTCCTAGTAACCATTCCTGGAAATCCATAGTGTTCATACATATGGAGTGTATTTGTCTAACCCTGTCACCTTAGATGTGTGTGTGGGCCAGGATGAGCTTACCATGAATGAGCATGCAGGTGTTAGGTGTCTTCTCCAACGCTATGTCAAGAGACATCACTGTTGAACACCATAGTGAACAGGAGACCTTCTGCTCGTCAGATGATCTTTTTAACCACTCCCAGAATTTATAAACATCATCCAGCACACTTCAATGTCCACAATTAGTTTCACTTCAACTCAGCTAGGTATGATGCTAAATTCCAGCAGACCGTGAAAGTCAGAATATTTAATACAGGTGAGTACAGCTTCGTCTCATCAGAACTCAAATTTTTGTTTATGTTTGCTCTGGATGATTGTGTGTTTTTATGTATAATGAAGCCCTTGTCTCTGCTACATGTGTAGAATAAGCAGCTGTTTTACTGTGTACTGTGCTTGTATTTGTTTTCCACTTTGTTTTCACAGGAAGAACTCAGAACTGGTGTCATAATCAAAGCTGAGTTTTTACCACTTTCTTTAAGATGTTGCAATGGTAAATTCCCATCAAACATTGTGAAAATTTTGCACTTACACAACAGCATAACTCCAGACCAGAGGTGTTTCACAGTGCCTACCACTGTATATAAGTGGCTTACTACCCTGGATGTTGGACACCAAATAAAAGCAGCCATAAAGTCTGCAGAAATAGTAGAGCAACACTTGGTTACACACTGCGGTACCACATATACAGGGATTGCAGGTTTGTCAGAACTGCACAGTGGCATCAGTATTAAAAGCTGGGGTTTTATTTGGTCCCTAGGAAACAAATTCGAGTCTACATATGGAGACAAGATATGTAGGCTATGTGTGTGCTGATATGACAGCAAAACCTTTTACTATTTCCTGGTTCTTGACTCTTGACTTTTTAATTTTCTTTGAGGAATTGCCTCTACTAAGCTGAGAGACTGAAGTAAATTGTGATCTAATTTCATGTACAAAGAAATAGTTTTTCACAACTCAGCTAATCTTTTCCTCAGCTTAATGGATACTCATGCTTTACTTACAAGATATGACTGTGGCATTTGCTACTTTTCGTGGTCAGACAGATCTAAAATTCAAACTTCATTACACTCTGTCTCCTGAAGCTCTGCTTCATTTGTACTCAGTTGATTTCAAGTGTAGTGGTTGTGGAGATTAGTTGCTTCTAATCCTTATTTAATTGTACTCATTTGTGTTCCAGGTAGCTAAATCAAGTGAATGGTACAAAATGACAATTTTATGGAAGCATTATTAAATTCTGAAGGATATGACTTCTCCAATTAGTGCAGGGCAGAGTGATTTATAGCCCTAATAATATGGCCTAATATGTCTAAGCAATGGAATTAAATGTTCTGACTGGATTATTTAAAATGTGTCTATAATGTAAAAGTTTAATGAAATAAGCACAGGCAGCAACTCAGCAGATTAAAGATGCTGGGAGCGGCATAAGATGGCCAAAATGGTCAAGATGGCAAGACTATTTTAGGACTGAGTCCATGATATGAAGCTGCATATAGACCAAAAAATGAGTATTAATGAGTTTGCATTTGGGTAAACAATATACTGCATGTGTATACAACCCATTAGTTAATTTGCTTAATATTATGTTTTCATCTCTCTGTCCACATTAGAGGAAAATACATTGAGAATTGTTTCCTGCCATGTATTGTACATTGTATCATATATGTTGAAATAATGGCACAGAAAATGTTTATTTTTTATTTTTATTTTTAATACAAACATGTTAATATATACTATTAATATTCAGAGGTTGTGCCAAAATAGCTTTAAAAAAAGGAGAAAAGAAAAATGGTCTGACATCACCAAACACTCCATTACCCATAATGCATTATGTTTGATTTTGTAACCTGTTCAATGCCGTCCATGCGCCAGGTCACAGCCAAACATAGTGGAGCTATATAAATTTGAGGTGCGCACTAACCGTACCGACACTGCAGTCTCTTCCTGGAACAAACCATTCGACCACCAGTAGAGGGGGGCGATTTCGGTGTAGACAAATACAGGAAATGCCGAGGTAGGCTATGTAAGTTCGAATTTTCTACTGTGTATCCTTTCATGCATATAGCAAACCGAAATTAATGTATCGTTTCGGTGCAGATATTTTGGCACCAGTTATAGAGCATCGTGAGACTTCTGTGCGCCTCTGCTGTTCGCGTAGCATCATCCTAACAGTCCACGGTTTCGGGTTAACTGAGCCTGAACATTGCCTAGTATTTTGTTACAATGTTATTATTACTCTGTTTTGTTTTATGTTCATTTGTGTCAGTGATAGTGAAAGATGATTTGTGAAAACCTTGTTACATCACCGTTATGTGTTCACGTGGCACATCAGGGGGATAATGCGGAGGTTAGATAAGGTCACCTCAGGTTTCTCACATTTTCACCCGCAATCCCTATTATATCCGTGTAGCAGGTGTAACATCCCCCGCTTCTCTATTTAAACATTTAGAATTGAAGACCAAAAATAGCACAGGTGATGTAAGACTATACATCTCCTAGGAAGACAGATGTCCCCTAGGATTGTGTGCTGTTATACCTGTGCCACATGAAATGGCAAGATTAAAAGTGTGAAAAGATCATTAACTTGCCAAGGTGAACGTCAATACACAAAATTATCTACAAAAACATATCAAAAACCTACATATGAAATATAATGATGACTTTGACCGAAGAAAAGACAAAATGATCATTTAAATAAATTAACTATGCAAATATATCCACCTGGTTTAAATATTTCTTCATGAAAAAAATATATTTTAGATGTTAGGCTTAACATAATGTATCAGAGAAGATGTGTGAGAAAAAAGTGCCAGATGGACAAGCTGAAATGGGCAAATTTAGACCTTGAGTGTGCTTCACAGTACAGATAAAGGACACACCCACGTATGTTTATCTCTGACACACAGTTAAGTGAGGCTGCCAAACCAACTGTCTGAAAGTACAACTAAAGTGTAGTTTTTCAATCAAAGCAGTGAAGATGTGAGTGAATCTTGTTTTGTGCTCCTTTTCTTTGACATTGGTACTCTGGTTCAGCTACCATGTTGTTTTCTATTTATATGTTGTGTTTTTCTTTCCTCAAAAGTGTGTCAAAAGTGTCCCCGCCGGAACCAGTCATGGGTGAGCAGTTCCCACAACAAGGAGAACTGTTGCTTAAAAAGTTCCACCAAGAGAGCTTCCCCAATGGGAAGGAAGCCACCAAAGACGGCCTGCATGCCAGAGGCCAGTGGGCTAGCAAGGCTGAGTTCCTCCTGGCTGTGGCAGGGCAGATCATTGGCCTGGGCAACATCTGGAGGTTTCCCTACCTCTGCTACAAGAATGGAGGAGGTAGAGCATGTGGGACACAAAAGGGAGCGAGGGGAAAGAAGAAAACAGTACATTAGTTTGTGGTTATTAGTTGGGTTTAGAGTTCAGTAAAAATCCTCACAAGCATATGTGTTGTTTCCAGGTGTGTTTTTTGTACCTTACTTGTTGTTCCTGGTGCTGTGTGGCGTCCCCCTGTTCCTCCTGGAGACCTCGCTGGGGCAATACACCAGCCTGGGAGGTGTCAGCGCCTGGAGGACTATCTGCCCATTATTTGGAGGTACACTTATCTAACTGTCATTAGTAGACTGCAGTTTGTGGTGGTGTTGTGCTGCATTGCAGATTGTTGCCTAATATTTTGTTTATAATGCTAAGGATTATTGTCATTATTGATTAATCAGTTCATAGACAAATGTCCGTGCTGGTTTGAAAGCCTAGGTTCAAAGCAACCTTGGAAACAGCTGCCAAAAAAAACATCTCACTCTGAGGTCCATTTAGTTGCTGTTCTGGAGCTTTCAGTCATATCAAATGATCAACTGGGCAAATGCCATGTGCTTGTGAGGATCATGCTAGTGATAAGACTGAAGGCTTCAGAACAGTAACGACCCTTTCGCAGGGTGGATTTTTTTCCTTTAGCGGGCATAAATGCCTCACCAACACTGGTGATAGTTTCTAAGCAGAGTCAAGTTTTCTCCCACCTTGCTGAGTGACGAACAGCTCTCCACAAACAGCCCGCTTCCAGGGAATATGTGAAAAAAGAAATCACTTTGGGGTTTCAGTGATTTTACTGGAGACAAGATTTTCCAGTTAAACTCATTTTTGTGTGATTCAGAGTTTGTGTAAAGCAGACCTTAGCATTTTCATGTGCGGGTGCAGCTAAAGCCAGTAGCATGATACCCTGGGAACACATTATAGGCTATAAACTGAATGTGTGTGTTTGTGTGTAGATTAATGCTTTTACAACTTGTTCTGAGCATAACATGGTCCATTGGCCTGCACATACACACAGTGTATGCATTCAGTGTTGACATTTGACTGTGTGAAGGCCTTGTGTTTATCATATGGATGGAAGGATGGAAGTGTTGCTAGAACATCATGTGAACAATCTGCAGCACTTAACACTTATGCTCATGTTAATGCAGACCTTGTACTTCTACTGATAGACTGTTCTCACTGGTTTGTACAAGTAATAGTTCATCATCAGATAAAGGCTAGAATTTCATGATAGGATATCACAAACAACTATTTGCCTTTGCTTTCTAACCCACTCAAAGTGTCACAAGACATTCCTATTCTTATTCATTCCTATTGAAGATATACCACATATGGACTGCAGTAAATGGATGCCTTCACATGAAGCTCAAGTGACTTGATGATAGAATATTTGTGCATGAATGCTGTGAAAATCATGTGTTTTGTACCTGTCTCTGCAGGTCTTGGTTACGCCAGCCAGGTGATCATCCTGCATGGCTGCGTGTACTACATTGTCATACTAGCCTGGGCTCTCTTCTACCTATCCTATAGCTTCCAGGCCGAGCTGCCCTGGTCACACTGTAACAACACGTGGAACACCGGTCAGTAAAGGCAGGAGATTAGAAGCTTCAGTTTGAGGCTGCAGTTTAAAACTGTAAGGGGTAACTGAGGTCCGTGTTGTGTGTGTTCTCCTGCAGAGGCTTGTGTCCTGTTTGACCACCACAATCAGACAACTAGTGCAAGGAGCCAGCTTGTAAACGCCACATCTCCTGTCACGGAGTTTTGGGAGTAAGTGCCTTTGTTTCTCATTGGGGGCTTTTCAGAATATTGATGAAATAGTGGAAGTACCTCTTATGGGAGTTTGTGTTCTAGGCGGGAGGTACTCCGTCTCTCCAGCAGTTTGGATGAGCTGGGACCAATCAGCTGGAAGTTGGCTCTGTGTCTGGCCATCATCTGGCTTGTGTGTTACTTTTGTGTCTGGAAGGGAGTCAAGTCTACAGGAAAGGTACTCAAAAAATACGCAAACATCATCACACGTCATGATGCTTTTACAGACTCTCATCCATGATTGTGACTATTACAGCTTCTGCTTTCTTTTTTTAAAGTTAATACATTTGTTTTTGATATAAAATACTATGAAGCAACAAGAGCAGTTATCAGTTTGTGAGAAGCTGCTCATCAACACAGCCTCTGTTTCTGCTTCAGGGCCGATTACATTATAATGAACTTGAGGCAAACATATGGAAATAAACATATAATTTCCAGCTTCCTGAGGCACTCAGCTGCTCTAAATATTGTGTGTATACTTTCTCTTTTATCTGTCTGCTTGGAGGCAATCAAGGTACTCTGAACCTTTTACTGTCCAATTCCTACAGTTTGCTTCAAAAATCATACTCAGTCATAACTCAGTCAAATCTGAGCACACAGACATGATACACCGATTCTTATATTTGGTGTTGTTTATACCTTCCAAGAATATTGTTATTTCTGATGTCCACTGTAAATAAACATCTATAAAGCCACTTTGAAATGATAGAAAAAGGTGCTCCAAATAATTTATCTGAGAATCTTCACATTTATACGTTTTCTTTCATATCAAAGTAATCCATTGATATTTGTCTGCCCATTCATGGGTACATTACAAACAGGATCTGCTAATAGCTAATTTGGCATACGTACGTTTAATGGTGCCAATATGACAAAATATAAAATAATACACACAATGTAAGCACTTGTTCTGCCAGTCAGAAAGCAGGTAAAGTTTAATGATTGAAAAGTTCCTGCACTAGAAAACTGCGTTCTCGAACACCACAGTGAAATAACTTGTAGTTTTACTGTTTCTATTTGTTCCACGGGCCCAATCTAAAAAATGGGGCGACCGCTCGTTTGCTGTCTATGGTCCTAGACTCTGGAATTCATTACCACCTGAAATCCGGTCTATAACTGAGCTAGCGGTTTTTAAGTCTGCTTTAAAAACCCACATTTTTAAACAGGCTTTTGGTGTTTAATCCACTTTAGCTGCTCTAAGGGGACATGGTTAATTTGTGCTTTTATATTTTTTTATTTTGATGAAACTTTTATTGCTATGATTTTCTAACCTGTATTTGGTATTGATTGTTTTTGTATTTGTTAGTTGATATATATGTTCCACTGTACAGCACTTTGTGCTCTCCGGAGTTGAAAAGTGCTTTATAAATAAAGTTTATTATTATTATTATTATGATTTCTGAATCTATGACTGAAGTAAGCAAACTTACAGAGTGCTTACAGAGACACCTTTCCTTTCTGCACTTGAAAAAATAATTTATTTTTCAAGTGGTTACTGCAAGATTCTGTAACAGTCACTTGAATTTTTTTATGGTGGCACAAAGTATTTTTTCAAACAGCAACCCTGAGGCAACGTTAGAAACACAACATAAGTCTTCTCCTGTCACATGGCTCGCAAATGATACAAGGCTGGGCACTGCAGTCATTTTGGAGGACTTATTTGTTGTGTCACTGCCACCATCCATCAAGGTTTTCAGACTCCAACTTTCCAGGGTTCCCTTTTTTAGTATTTCATCCCTGTTTGAGGGCATTAACAGATGACTCCTTCCTGTTTTCTCTGTGTCTGTGCCATCCTGACCACATCCCTGCATGCTGTGTGTACATTGTAGGTGGTGTACCTGACAGCGACCTTCCCATATGTCATGCTGTTTGTGCTGCTAGTGCGTGGTGCCACTCTGCCTGGAGCGACCCAGGGCATCATCTACTACCTCAAACCCAACCCTGCCCGGCTGGCAGATCCACAGGTACAAGCACACACACTTTAGATGGGTTTAACATATATGATGCCAGAAGTGTCTGTTGGAGGCAACAGAGATTTTTCAAGTAATTCTTTCAGGTGATTTGGCTGCTCCTAATGGTAGGAGGCCAGTGTCGGTCAAGTAAGTGGACTGCCAGTACAGTAGGCTGGACTGTGTGCATCTTGTAGACACAACAAGAGGTTATCCATTATTCAAGCAAACAATCTAATACACACCGCAAATAAAGTTCCCAGTAACTTATCACAAAATAAAACAGCTGTAGCAGAGAGAAAACTAGGACAATATTTACTTTCATTTCAATATTAATTGGTTTTTATTAGTGATGTGATCGTATTTGTGAGTTCATGATATCATGATAGAAAACTGCCTTGATAATGTTGTGGGACTATGACGGTATCTACATATGGTTATTTTGTTAGTATAGCTGCATGCTGGTCGCACAATTTGAAACTGACATAGCAGATGTTCCATTATTGACTTTTAGAGCATCTGTGTGGCAGAATTTCAAATTTTCCTTTTCAAGAAATGACACAGGTGAAAGGAAAATAAAAAAAACACTGAACAATTTACAAACACTGCTGGATGAAGGGAATGCTAGCCCTGTTTAGGGCTGAGACAGTCCCGGATACATCTCGTAGAAACAGTGAGGACACGTTTGTACACAACACTTTAACGGAGATGAGCAAACAAACCGGACACGCATATGCAAAACCAGCTACTTAGTAACCATCCTTAAGGTCTTCTCTCTTGAAAAAGTAGATCACAGTGTTTGAAAAGCATCTCCAGTAAAGTACAGATCCCACCTTTATGTGTATTGTCCTAGTTTGGCGCCTTCTTCTCCTCATTCTAGCATACCAAGCAACAATTTGCTCAATACTGGCCCCAGTGTTCAGGAGTGGGGGATGTTCACTTCAGCTCATCTGTTAGCCTACTGAGAACCTGACCTCCAGACGGAGAAGCTGAAACCTGTCGAGGGGATATTAAAACACCGATGTTCCACTGCGAGTGTGACTTGTTTTATTTACAAGATCCAGCTGCTGCAGTAATATATTATTTTATTTGATCTCATCAAAGGATTGCTACTAGCAGCTGCCTTGTCTTTTATATACATTATACAAAAATGCTGATTTATTATTTAGTGAAGGGCATTTTTTCATCTTTCTTTTTTTTTAATATTGTGAAAAATCGTATCATGAACTTTTTAGTGTGCCAGTATTGACACCCTAGTGTTTATGAGACACATACTGTTGGAGGTTCATTACTTTGTGTATGTGTTTTTCAGTTTGTGATTACAGCTGATCATGTGCCTCATGTCTACTCTTTCAACCCCCTCACCTCTCTCTATGTGTAGGTGTGGATGGATGCAGGTACTCAGATATTTTTCTCTTATGGAATCTGCTTGGGAAGCCTCACAGCCCTGGGCAGTTACAACAAATACAACAATGACTGCTATAAGTGAGACACTTTGTCACACACAACCACACAACAGCAGTTCCAGCCACACAGTGTCTCTTTACACTCCACTTCAGACAAACCATATTCACTTGAAATGTAAGATGCGAGCTCCCGGCGGTGACATGGCGTCTAGAAGGAATGGCTGGAATGGACAGAGAAAACACTTTGATGCAGCCACACCTTAAAGAAAAAGCCCTCGCTGCCATGTTTCCCACACTCTCAGACTCCCCCACACACTCACAGGAAGAACCAAACACTTAACCCTTGGCTTGTATTTATAGTCTCAGACCACAGCTCCACAATACAAGGCCAGAGACCAAGATCAAGACCTCACTGTAGTCTGCTTTCTGTCCGGTCTTAATGAAGGGACGTTTACAATCAGAAAGTTTAGTTTTTGTTCCATTGCTTTACATGTTTCTCCTAGTTCCACGTGTATTTCATCACACTGTGTCCTGCCATAATGCTCAAGGAATTTCCATATGTGTGCCTGTGTCCCTGCAGAGATTCCTTCCTTCTGTGCCTCCTGAACAGCAGCACCAGTTTCCTGGCAGGTTTCGCTATCTTCTCGGTGCTGGGCTTCATGGCTGAGGAGCAGGGTGTGGACATAGCCACTGTTGCCCAGTCAGGTGAAGCATGTTTTTGACATGGAAGCAGGATTTTCCTCAGTGCACGTGAGGAGATGTTCAGGGAAAAGGGCTCAGTGGAAAGCAGAAAAGAAACACTACTACATGGTGACCTTTAAATTTACTCTGTCACACTTAGTTGAAGAGCTGTTCCTGTGGTTCTCTGTCCTCTCAGGGCCTGGCCTCGCCTTCATCGTCTACCCAAGAGCTGTAGCCATGATGCCGCTACCTCAGCTCTGGGCTGTGTGCTTCTTCCTCATGATCATCATGCTGGGCCTGGACACACAGGTAGACACACATACTGACCTTGATGAAATGATGCCATTGTATCTGTGTAACACTAACCTGCTCTGCTATCTGTTCCTCAGTTTGTGAGTCTGGAGGCACTGATGACGTCAGTGACTGACCTGTACCCTCATGTGATCAGACGAGGCCACCGCAGAGAGTTGCTGCTGCTGTTTGTCTGCGTCATTTGCTTCCTCGTAGGACTGGTCATGGTCACGCCAGTAAGTCAGGATGGACGAGTGTGTACATGATCCTCTTTATATATATGATGCTGTTTTGTTATTAATGTCATGGAATAATGGAGTTTTTTTGTCTCCACTTTGATGCAGGGGGGTCTGTATGTGTTCCAGATCTATGACCATTTCTCCTGCAGCGGAGCCACGCTGCTGCTCCTCTCCATCTTCCAGTCTCTGGCCATCGGCTGGGTGTATGGTATGAATCCCAAAGCCTCTTTGCTGCTTTTGTTTCCTTCTTCCTTTGTCTTTCTTTTGCTTTTTATTTCCTTCTCTTATTTTGCCTTTTCATTTATTTTCCTCAACCCTCTCCTCTGTGCTCATTTGCTCTCACCTGCCCTCTCCTTGCATTTTCTTTGCCTTTTTATTTCTCTTTTGTCTTTGTTTTTGTCTCCTTCTTTTCCCTCTTTTAACAAAAATCTTATGTGTAGAAAATATCCTACCATCTGATTTTGCTACATATCTGAATTTAATTAAATTCTTTTGGAGCTCATTAGTCTGACAGTAGGATTCCACATTCTGCCAAGAATTAAACTTTTTTTAAGTAACTCCTAAAATCATCCAGTCTGCCTCCTTCACTCCTCCTACATTCCACCTGGACTCTGTACATAGTATATTAACATAGCTTCCCACTGTTATAAGGAGATTGGCTCCTAGCCAGGCCCCTGTCTGTCTCCTCTGGGACCTCAATCAGCCCCTGGGCCCTGTTGCCTCTCAGTCTCAGTCTGGTGGCCCTGGGGAGCCCCAGCCCCAGCCAGACCTAGGGCTCGAAAGCTTCTACAAAAACACTGTTTGTATAAACGTACAATGGGTAGAGAGTATGTTTATCAAGACATTAAAATATAGAAGATTTAGGCAGTATGCCTAATTAAGACCCAGAAAAGCTGTGAAAGGGAAGAGAAGAAAGAAGTGCTGTTGCAGGTGATAACAAATAAGTGTAAAATTATGTTGGGTGGGGGTGCAAATTAATACCAAGGATGCTTGTTTTTATGGCATTCCCAACAGTAGCTGATGCATAGTTTGGCAGAGGGGACTGGCTAACACAGTGACTCCACAGCATTTTATGACTGTGGGATTTTACAGTTTTTAAGGACACTAGCAGGCACTAACACTCTTATGTCACTGGTTCTGTGGTCATGAAGAAATCAGGGTCTAAACAGCAGGATGTTTGACTCTACTTTTAGAAGGGGAACATTTACCTTTACTAAATTAATCATCAAAAACATATGAGACACAGAATAGATATTGTAGCTTGGAGTTTTTAGATACTGATATGTGTGCACTTATAAATCACTTTTCTACACATAGTGCATCACTTTTTGAACAGTTACTGCCATTATAATCAATCTCATTCCTAGTTGTACTACTCTTACACATATTGCTAGTGCTACTGTTAACCATCACCCTGCTACTACGTAATATAAACAATAACATGTAAGGTTAAAGTGATGTTTTCTTTTTCAAGAGCTTTTTCCAGAATTTTTCTGTGTAGTGGTGGATACTGGGCAAAGAATTTGGCCATTACCACCAAAAACAACAAGTCCGCCATAAACCAAAACACGATGTCAAACCACAGCCATTCATGGTCTTCTTGTTTTTGCCACAGGAGCCGAGCGCTTCAGTGCCAACATCAGGGATATGACTGGCCACACCCCCGTGTCTGCCTTCAACCTGTGCTGGAAATACTTGACCCCAGCTGTGTGCACGGTGAGTGACCCCTGCTAACCTGCTTTCCCTGTTCAGCGTCTGCTTGTTATGAAACTACTGACAAGCTTTTGAACATGTAGTAAAAACTTCTTTAGTATTTAGTAAAATTACGTTTAATCAAACTGTTTTTGTTGTAAATACATATCTAGTTTTTAGGTTTCAGTCATTTGCTACGTAGTATTTTCAGTTGCCATAGTGGCTGAGCCCAGATCTCAAAGACATCATTATGTCAGCCTGATATACTTCTATCTAAGGACATGATGGATGGATTCAGAATCCTGATGACAATGGTTAGCATTCACAATCCTCCTTTCTGTCTCCTTCAGGCTACCTTTCTGTTTTCCCTGGTGCGCTGGTTTCCGTTGAGCCTGGGGAAAGACCTGGTTGCTCCAGTCTGGGCCACCATGCTGGGCTGGTTCCTTACCCTCTCTTCTGTCTCTCTGCTCCCCATCTGGGCCATCTACGCCCTGGCCACCACTCCAGGAACCCTGCAGCAGGTTACACAAACATGCGCTTTATTTATTTATTTATGTGCCATGTGCTGTTTAAAAACCTACACATGCACAATGTATGAATGAGGATGTTGTTTTGTGCGTTTTAAAAGTGAATACAAAATACAGAGAGTTGTTCAAAGTAATAAGGACTGTAAGATGTTTAAACAGTAAGCTGTCATGACTTTTTCACCCCACAGCGCTTCCAGCACCTCTGCAGCCCTGCCAAAACCTCATCACTGGCCTTCCACAACTCAGCACTCCCAAACAGCCCAGCACTCCCCCTGACTGAGAAGCCAAAGGTCACATCATCCACGGTGCTGTGAGGTCATGATGGTTAGCGACGATGTCACACTGGGTGCTTCTCAGCATTCAGGTGTAACGAGGGGTATGGTCGAAATTCAAGTTGCTGCTGCTGAGTCCCAGTAGAGAGGCTGAATTTTTGTTAGTCTTTATCCATAGACTAAATAGCCAATAGGGAAAACCCCCAGTTACCAACTATCAATGGTATTTTTAAAAACTCTAGTTTCTTTTTTAAATTGGTCAATTTAGTCACTGTATTTATTGACCATTTAATCGCACAACCCTATAAATACCCATGTCACAGGGTGAAGCTAACTGGCAAAGCTAAAGTTAAGCCTATTGTTAAGCCAGGATTAGAGTTACCACTGTGCTCTCTATGAGAGATCACTGTTTCTGTTAGTATGTTCGCTTAGCTTTGACTCCATAGTATGTTCAGATGCAGGTGTCATCTGACATGCCTTCATCAGTCAGATGTTTTACATGACGATTTGTCTGCACATTTTGTATATGTACCACTCAGTCATAGAGTTTGAATGGTTCTTAACGTGCCTTACACCCAGAACAAATGGTCCTAATGCAAACACTGCATTAACCAAATATTACTTTTCAACTCTAATACCTCAAACTCTCAACTTGATGTCATGGTTATCACTGGCAGAAGGATTGAAATGTGCACTAAGAGTTTTCATATCTTACACACATCTTTGAAAGTAGTTTGTACTTGTGTGAGTTGTGCAGTTTCTGCACAAGTAAAAAGCTTTATTAAAATCTTTTTGCACTGTACCACAGAGAACTCGCTGATCACTCACCAAGCTGGAAATATATCAGTACCATATAGCAAAACTGCTGCTGCTGTCCCAAGTATTTTGTTCTGTGCACCAAGTGTTTAATGTGATGCACAGAACAAAACCTTTAATAAGAAGATACAGTAACTCTGTAGTGTGATTATATTTGTAGAGGAATTTATAGTGTCTTTAAATGCCCTCTATGCCGTGTGTGTTGTTGTGTGTATATGCAACCCATGGCTCCCAAGCTGCATGCAGCTCTTTAGCCCCTCTCTAGTGGCTCCCTGCCTCAAAGGCTAGAGCTAAGTAGAGCTAGCTAACTGGCATGTTAGCAGGTCATCACATCTTCAAAAACGTCTGAGCAAATTCCAAAAATTGGTGGTATTTGGATCGACTAATCACATATTCAAAAACTGGGCGGTTGTTTTCTCAACTGAAACAATATCAAAACTTAAGATAATCATATAATTACAGTCCTAGGATGAAAATTATAACAGCTTTAAGTCTGTCCTTCCACCAATGGGATGACATGGGAAAACATATTGTCCATCGCTTCCATTTACTTCAAAGTTATGTAGAGTAGGCCATCTGGATACTACTCATGTATAAAGGGTGATATCAGACCGGATACCTGATACTGGTATCGGTATATCCCTATTTATAGCCTCTCCTGAAGCAGATACCGGATAGTGTGACAGACAGCCCTGTGTGTTCTCAGGTGATACTTACATCTGGATTCTGTTGTATTCAAAATCCTGTTCTGCTGTCCTGGGGGGACTGCTGTGCTGTCTGTGAACAAATCATCTATCAGTCAACAATCTGATTAGTTGTTCACAGGGCTGTATTTTAAAGACACTTTCCCCTCACCTGCCTGGCTGACAAAACTTCAGAAAAACAAAAAAACATGAAGTAACAGTATTCAATACAAAGCACAATGACAACAAGACAAACTAAAATAACTGAGCCTAAAACAGCTGATACTTTTCATAATACACACTGTATGATCATCACCCTGCAGTAACACTGCTCCTGCAACTCTTGGATGCAGCTGAAAATAAAGAAGTATGAACCACTTTCATAGTACTGTTACATGAACTAAGAGATGGGACTGCCTCATTTTTGACCATTTGTATGTACGAATCTTGGTGAGGGTCTAAATTTTAATGGCCACACTAACAAAATCATCATTCTGGCATCTTAAAAACAGCTAAAATGAGAAATTTTGCTGTATGTACGAATCTTGGTGAGGGTCTAAATTTTAATGGCCACACTAACAAAATCATCATTCTGGCATCTTAAAAACAGCTAAAATGAGAAACTTTGCCTAAGCAGGATTTAGAAAAGCTCATTTATCCTTTCAGTAGTGTAGACTCCTGACTGGCCTGCTAGAATACTGAAAAAATACCAAGAGGACAGAGCACATTACTGCAGTCTTTAGATCTTTGCACTGGCTTTTGATTAAATACAGAATTGAATTTAGGGCCCTGCTTATTGTCTCCAAGTCTCTCAATGGTCTAGGCCAGGAGTCAGCAACCTGCAGCTCTTTAGCCCCTCTATGTGGCTTTTTAATTTTTTTTTAATTGAAACAAAGTAACACATTAACAAAACACTACCGAACATGGGAAACAAGACAACAGTTACATGACATTACAAAAGGATATAGAGTGTTCAAGATTGATTGTGAAGTGTGGGTATTTCCAACTTATACAGTCTATGAAATGCAAGAAAGGGAAAAGGAGGGGACGTAAATAAATAAGTAAATACCAATAATAATGATGCAAAGTGATGGAGAAGGAGGGATTCTACAGCCCAAGATGGTGGAGAGTTTCTCTGTCACTGCTATCCAGAGGGAATGAACTGGTTGGCAGGTCCAAGTAGCATGAAAGTAACTGTCGGTGCAATCTAGAGTGCATTGTGAGCAGATGTCTGTGTCGGTGAAACCCATTTTGAACAGTTTACTTTGTGTAATATGAGTGCTATAGATGGTATTGCATTGTATAAGTTGTAAGTTTACATTGCTGGTCATAGAAAAGATGTTATTGCAAATTTCTGTCCAGAAGTCGGAGTTGAGGGGGAGAGTTAAATCATTTTCCCATTTGAGTTTTGGTATTGCTATTGTTGAATCTGTACCTGATATGAGTTTATATAGCTTGGATATTATTTTCTAGGAATCTGTAATTTTCATAATCTCTTCATTTAATTTGGGGGGTTGTAGTGGGTTATTATATTGGTTACACTAATCTTTGACTTAATTATGGATTTTAATTGATTGTACTGGAGGAACTGTTCTCTCTGAACTCCGTACTTCTGGATCAGTGTATTAAATAATATGAACTGGTTATTTTCAAATAGGTGAAAATGTGGTTCCATGGCTCATTGGCTACAACTGTACCTGCTAGGTAGAACTAGCTAGTTGGCACATTAGCAGGTGATCACATTGGCAAACTTAACATAATCACATCATTTTCATCCTAGGACTGTAATTATAACAGCTGTAGGCCTGTCCTGCCACCACCGTGGGATGATGGGATAGCGTAGTGTCCATTGCTTCCATTTAGTATGATGTTATGTAGAGTAGGCCATCAGGATAGTACTCATGTACACATTTTTTGTCATGGCATTTGGCTATGTCATTCGCACAAAAACAGGGAGGAGAGGCCTGCGTGGCCATTTTTAAGTGAGCCCACACATGGCAGCAGATTTTTTCTCCACTACACAATCAGTTTAGTGTTTGGTCATTTAGACCTATTTGTACTGTTGATGGGATATTTATCCAAAAGGCTTTGGCACCTGTATGTAAAGAGCTGAAAGGTTTTTGTGGCTCCAAGCAGTTTTTTTTTGTGTCTGGCCAAAAATGGCTCTCCAGATAGTAAAGGTTCCTGAGCCCTGGTCTAGACTTTAATAACTGCCCCTTGTCCTGCAAGGTGATAATGGTTAATATCATATACCTCTTAGATTACAGTGAGCAAGTGTGATTTGTTTCATGTTTTAAGATAAACAATTTCAAGTTCTTCATGTTAACTTGGCACTTGTGTCAGCTTGAACTGATCCAAATTTGTTATGATCTCTGTTTACGGGTGTATAGATGTGCCTCTTTATTTTAAAATAGGCCTCTTTTGTATGTATGCCGTTTTTTGCTTTTGTGTACGAATATATATACTTTGTGGATAACAGTGCTTGTGTTCATTTCTTGCAAAAAATAAGTTAAATGTGTGTGTGCAGGTGTGTTTTTGTCTTCCGACAGAGTGCACCTATGGTCAAGGCTAGCTGTCACCCAGGAGATGTTCCTCTCTCCCTCTGCATCATAGTAACAGATGCTGACACACCTGGTTTCTGTGGCACAGAGAAAAAGATGAAGAAACACACACACACATACACACACTTCATCAGCCATCCCAAGAACAAGCTCTGTGATTGCTATGCTTTTATCTGAAGTGTTTTCATTCTAATGGGAATTACTGGTTTAACATCCATGAAGCGATGGAAGAGGAGGATGGAGAATATGTGTGTTTGCAGAGGGGTGGGAGCCGTGAGAATAGAGGAGGGAGAGTAGCAGCGCCGGGTTGAATTCTGACACCACCACTTAGATGGATTCTGGTGGTTATGTAAAAGGCTCAGCTTGTCATTTAACCATATTGGATCCCCTCCCCTCTCAGCCTCTGTAGGAAGTGGGCCGGTCCCACACCCACGTGGCTCAGCACGCGGGGTTCACACACACACACATTTATTTTGGTTATGCTGTATGCAGCCTGCCTTGCACGTGTGATCTGGGTTACTCTGTAACTGTGTGTGTGGAAAACGTGTGGTTTATGTCCATATGGTGGGTTTGGCGTACATTTCGATTTCAGATGATGGGGATTAAAAATGATCCAACAGGATTGAGAGTGTGAGATTCAAAGAGGAGAGAGGAAGAGGGAGGGATGAAGAGGAGGATGTTGTTAGAATGTGAGCCAAAGCCTGTGTGTGCGTGTCTTTTCTGAATTAAAGACAGCAGAAAGTTGCTTAATTTTTGCTCCGGCTCAGTGCCACTAGCTTGCAGCTGCAGCACTTTCCCCTCATGTATTACACTGTGTACATTTTCAAGGATAAACTCAACACTTAGTTTGTCTCAATATTTCCAGGGTAACGTGTCTGAAACCCTGGTCATACAATAGCAAGAAAAAACAGCATGTTAACTTTTGAAATCTGGGATATTTTCTGCATACAGGCAGAGGCAGCACCAAAGGTACAGCTAGACATCACACTGTCCTGATCAAACATCCTCTCTCACTCACATCATTTTACTTCTGGTAATACACTTGACAGTTTGGTGTAAAGGAGAAGCAGGCGGCAACAGGAGAGCGGGGGGGTTAGATGCAGGCGAGACTTGACGCCAGGGAGCAAAAAGAGACGGGTAGAGAGGGCATGAGGTGCATTGCATAACAGCTGGGTGAGCTGGGCATGAAGTGCAGCTCGATACAGGATCCACTCTGCAGTGGTCACCATCAAGTTTGTGGGGTTGTGTGTGTAGCATGCACATGTGTGCACACTGTGCTTTCATGTTTAGGAAAACTGATGAGTCCTGCTTGTGGTTTGCACAAGCACCCCCCTACCCCAGAAAATATAGACCAGAAACTGTAAGTCTGTGAAATGCTATAATTATTTGTATTCCCATAAACAATTCATCAAGTGTTAACTATTCTTTTTTTGTAAATTTGATTTCTCTACATCAAGCTTTTTCACAGCCCTTCTTTGTTGTCCTAAACTTGAGGCCCTAAAGTAAAGCTTAACCCAAAAAAATACTAAAGATGACTTGAGTGTAGTTACACCTCTCTGAGGAACTGTCAAGTGACATTTTACTGGAGGCTTATTTGAATACAGTGTATCCTTGGTGTGGGATGGTTCATGTGTGGATTGTACCACGGCGGGATTTGATAGGGGCGGTGAGGCTTATGGTGGCAGCACACCATGTTCCGTTTTTTGGTCGTGCTTCCGCCGTCTGCCCACACACTCTGGCTGCATCCCTACATCAAACTACCCACACCACTCAGTCACGTAGATGGGGCTTTGGATTAGGGGCCACTTGATGCAACAAACCTGAAACATAATATCTGTTCTCAAGTTCATGTGAGGATGTGTGCATTCACCAAACAAGGCTTCTCTCCTGACACATACTCACACCCCCTCTGTGGTGTGAGAAGGTAATAGCTGTGACTCAGCAAATGAGCAGTGTCTAGGAACTTTTAAGAAAAGCCACTCTCTAGTCAGTGTGTTTTTGTGTGTATTAGTGAGACACTGTGGTTCCAGTGAGGTATGCATGCATCCCTCTCAGCACACAAATATGACAACCTCTTGGCACCACACTTACCTAAAGGTAAAATAAATAAGACAGCTATCTGGACAGTTCCAAGCACACTGACACACTTGCAGAGTCACCCACACACTTTTTTCCTTTACTTTAACATAACTAAGTGCAGCAATACAGCACCTACTGTATGCATGCTCACAGATTTCTTTCATCCCCTCCTCCTCCTGCTCTCTCTCACACACACCATGAAAGGTGAACTCCCAGAGTTCTTATTCAGGACTGGTCATAAATTATCTATTTCTCCCTGGTTTGCTAAAATTCTACAGTCAAATCTTGTTGGACTTTTAGTATTAAAAATTTAAAGGAGTCAAAGTGGTAACAGCATAAAAATAACAGGCTGGTGTTTAGTGGAGCCACTGTGGAGTTACATAAATGTTGGTCTGCATGTGACTGCTTGGGAACTTGTTTTGCTGAAGTTTTTATGTTGGCTACCAGTGATGCTGAAATTGAAACTAATGAGAACATTTACAGTCAGAAGTGACTTTAAATGATGATTTGGAGCTTCAGCTTCCTGTTTGGATCTTCCCCCCTCTGCCTCTTGTCTCTGAACACACCAGTGACAGCATTGTTCGGGTTTCTCTTCTCCTCCAGCACTTGACTTTCCTCCGATTTGAGGAAGAGAGGGAGAGAAAGAGAGAGAAGTTGGGGGTGGAGGAGTGGTGATTGAGCGCAAAGGGGGCAGGACGTTTTCTCTCCGGGTCCTATTAAGAGCAAACTTTGTGTTTTTGTTCTCCAACTTTAGCTCGGTGCACTCCAGTCTGTGCACAGTCCCTCTCGGCTGCTCTCTTTCTCTTCCTTTTTTTCCTCAGTGTTTGCTCGCCTGCTCTGTACTACTGTTTGTTTTTGCATGGGGGATTTGGACACCGGCAGGATGCGCTTTTTGGAGGAACACATCCACAAAGTTGTATTCTTGGCTGGTCCTGGGTTGTTTTAGTGAATATATAGATGTTTTTTGGGGTTGGAATGAACAATGATGTGGCTCCTTGATGCTCTGGCCGGGAGCATGCTCTGGTTTCGCCTACTGTTGCTGTGCGTCGTGGAGTTGGAGCTGGGAGATGGGGTTCCTACTTTCCAGGGATTCTATCTTCCACCTGCGAATAGGTCGATTTTCACACCTGCCCGGAGGACAGATGGGGTCGTACGGACCATCGACCGGATTTACCACGGAGGGGGGAAGGTGGGCTACCTAGTGTACCTGGATGGGAGACGGTTTCAGCTGGACATGGAGCGGGACGAGTCGCTGCTGTCGCATCACTTCAGCCCCCAGTATATGATCGCTGTGATGGGGGAGAGCCATGCGCCGTTACAGCGGGAGTGCGTGTACCGCGGGACAGTGGACTCCGTCCCGGAATCCCTGGCCGTCTTCCGTCTCTGTGGCGGGGGTCTTGATGGTTTCTTTGCCGTCAACAAGACGCACTACACCATCATGCCTATCATCAGGGCGAAAGGACATAAGCACGACGTGCGTGCCCTGCAAGACAAGGACGCCGAGAGCGCGCTCCACGTGTTTGTGCGCGAGAGCTTCAGCTTTGAGGCAACGAGCGAAGGGCGCGAGAGCTGCGGGACGCGCGACGGGCATAGAGGACGCAAGGATGCGGCTGAAAAACGCTGGCACAGAGGTCGCGGGAGGGGTAGACAGGACAGAAGAGGGCTCAACGCGAAAAACACTGATGACCATGGCGCCCGTGGACCGAGATGGTGGAGCCGGCTCGTTAAAGCGGCCTCTCCAGACACCGGCACGCGTCAGAAGAGGTCCGTCTCACGCGCCAGGCACGTGGAGCTGCTCCTGGTGGCTGACGACACCATGACAAAGAAATATGGCAAAGAATTAAACCACTATTTGCTCACACTGGCCTCAATCGCCTCCAAGCTGTATGGGCACGCCAGCATTGAGAACCCCATCCGGCTGTCGGTGGTGAAGGTAACCACATTCACTGAGAAGGAGAGGGGCCTGGAGGTGTCCAAAAACGCCGCGGCAACACTGAAGAGCTTCTGCAAGTGGCAGAACCAACAGAACCCGCTGGACGAAGACCACCAGCACCACCATGACGCCGCCATCCTCTTCACCAGGCAGGTAAACAAACTTCCCTCGCTCTCTGCGCCTCCAGCCATCCGTCCCTGTCACCTGGCAGGCTCACCGAGGCACCGGCTCCGCCTGTCTTCCATCCCACACAGCGGAGAAGAGGCGGCTTTGGCGACTCGGTGTGATGTCAAGGGAACGGAGTGACGCCACGGGTTGTTTTGATTTTGATGGTGCACGCGGTGGCAGCTGGTTCACTGTAGCTAATATTGAACCTTGAGTGGCTTATTGTAAATGGGCTACAAATGACAAAACATACACTGAAATTAAAATAACTGACACGTCACCATTTTTTATTTTATGACAGTATTACACTAATTACGCGACACTAGTAATTTTGGCTGACTGTGATACATTTTTAGTATTGTTTGTTTGTTTATTCGTTTCCCAGTAGTGTTTTTCACTTTTCTTCTTGTTGCTGAATCTTGCGTGCTTAGTGTCTGTGAAACAGCCATAAAGACTATTTCCTGCACCTGGTGTTTTTCTAAGCAGGTTCCTCTGTCTCTAGCTTTCCCCTCCCAGTCCCCTGATAGTCCAAAAACCTTTGTGATCTGAGGCGTGTGTCTGCAACCGTGCACACACATTCTTCCCAGGGTAGGAGGCTGGAAATCACTGAAGAAATATCTTTAAAACTCCCTTGAAACTGCAGTTAATTTGGTAGTCATCCCAGCTTTGCACTTCATCTCTTTCTCTCTCTCTGTCTCATCACTCCACTCTGCACATTTTTTCCTGGTTACTTTTCCAGCCTTTGTCAGCTGGGGCAGGGAGCTGTCAGAAAAACAAACACATCCACCCTGTGAGAAGCTGTACATTTACCAAGACCACACTCATTTATCCCTTCTTTCACCATCACTTTTTCTCCCCTCATCTTTCCTCCCTTTTCCCTCACTGCCTGGTCCAAAGCCGCAGGGCAGCAGCAGATCTACATGCATTTTTCACCTCACCGGGCGTGGCTTTATGGTGGTTAGTTCCACTGAGCGTATTAACTTTACCTTGAGTTGTGGTGGGTTCAAGTCATGCAAGGTCTTGTCACGGCTTGGGTGAAAAAGCAAGCACTTCAGATCTCCTGGCAACAATAGCAAGCTGACACTGTCATTCACTGGCAAGGCAGCCAGTAGTGCATACCTGAGGTCGGCACGCTGGCAGAGTGGCATAGCTCCTGTGTGCCAAACACCTTGTGGCTCCTTATTAACCTTGTTTCCACTACACATGTAGGAGCAAGACTGGAAGAAGTCAGAAAAAAGAGTGTTTGGGTGGTTGGGCTTGGCAGAGTAAGCAGGGTCAGGCCCTAATGTAAAACGTTATCTCGGTACCTCTAAGGCTGCCTCGGGACAGGAGGGCATAAAATGGACAGCAAGCACTAATGAATCATGGCAGACGGTATACTGCAGATTATTTTCAGTTCTCCTTCAGCTGGGATCCCATTCAAATACCTGTCCTAACAGTGACCAAGCTCGTCTAACCTGAGTGCCTTTCCACTGAGATCCTTATCTGTTGCATGTCTAATGTAGCTAAATCTTGTCAGCATGAAGCATAAGCACATAACTAGAGTTCAGACATGGGACCTTAATACTGTCAAGATGAGCGTGTAATTAAAGAAAACAGCCACTGCCTTACTTAAACTTTGACCTCTGAACTCTCTGGTAATTAAAGGCTATTTATCAGGATTATGTGTATTGGCTGAGTGCTTAAACTGCTGTTACTTTACCTTGTCTGTTATTGTGAGGGGCAGACAATCAGGGCTCAGGTTTGTTTACATGAAAACACTGCAGGAAAACAACTTGAAAGTGGAATTTAAAAAGCCACATTTCTAACATATACACATTTTTTTGAAACTGAAGTGTTACAGAGGAATGTGTAGACGCTGACATCTTGGAAAAAGACAATTTAGCCCTGTTGTGTACAAGAACCATGCTTCAAGTTTGCTATTATTCATTTTGCAAAAGAGGCTGTCGGTAAAGATTTCATGCAAAGTCAAGACACAAAATTCACCATTTTACAAAGAGGGCAGCATCATAATGTTTCCACTGACAGAATGCCAGCGAGGAAATAACTTGATTTAGTTTAGGTACCTTACTGCATTTTTGAGCTGGAAAAGAGAAACGGAGATAGTTCTTAACAATTTTTCAGGATTTTCTCAAGAGAAATAACTTTTGTTGTAGTCCAAATAGAGAATTAACTAGGAATGACAAACTTGGACATGCTGTAGATTTGATTCAGATGTGTAATAGGAGAAAGTCTACCTTGTATTCAGCTGTACTGAATACCAAAGGTAATCAAATAGTAGTATGACTATTCTGTCCTCTGTGTATTTGGAGCAACTTTTAAGTAAATCCCCTGATTACTGTAGTGCGTTGAACTAGATCTGAGGTTACTGTGAAGTCAGACCAGTCCATTGTTTCCCAATGGGGGGGGGCAGGAGTGCAAAGGGTTGAGGGAATCCCTCCCTTTGTGGTCAGCTCTAATTACTCCAGCACCCTGTGCCCACACTGAGCTGACCCATGCAGCGGTGTCACACGGTTCCACACATACCAGCACCAGAACAAAACATCGGCCACAGTGAGGGCTCTCTTCTGAGTGGATGGGAACATGAAATGTTACGCATGGCTCTGTTCTCTTGTTGTGAGGCTTGGGCATTGGACAAAGCCCTACTGTATGGCAGACACAGAGCTATGGCATACATGTGTGTTCCTGCCACTTTTTGTTTTGCTTTTGCTTGTTGCAGCAAAGATTTGGATAGACATTGCTAGCAGGTACTTTTGATGTCAGTGATCTTGAAGTGCTGACCTTTTCAGCCTGGGTCGAGGTCAGGTCATATTTATAATATATAGGAAATATAGGACTTTGTTATTCTTTGCATTTTGCCTTTATATGTCCAGTGTGCAAATGAAAAAAGTGAATGCATGAGTATGAGATTTTCTTGGATGATTTGGTTGTTATCAATGCCAAATTTATACTAAGACAGTAAAATAATCTAATCAATGAATTTCATACATTCAGTAGATGAGCCCAGATTAAAACTTCAGTTTCTATTTACAAATTACTCAGAATCATTTATTTTGTCCCTGGTAGGCTAGTGGTTCATGCGCAGCACTCTCGCCGCTGCGCCCCGGGTTCGAATCAGGGTTGCATCAGGAAGAGCATCCAGGGAAAATGATTTAGCGCCCTCCTTCAACTCCGACTTCTGGACAGAAATTTGCAATAACATCTTTTCTATGACCAGCAATGTAAACTTACAACTTATGCAATACAAGACCATTTACAGGACCCATATTACAGAAAGTAAAATGTTCAAAATGGGTTTCACTGACACAGACATCTGCTCACAATGCACTCTAGATTGCACCGACAGTTACTTTCATGCTACTTGGACCTGGCAACCAGTTCATTCCCTCTGGATAGCAGTGACAGAGAAACTCTCCACCATCTTGGGCTGTAAAATCCCTCCTTCTCCGTCACTTTGCTTACTCTGTAATATCATAGAAATCGATCACCTACCATTCAAATACAAAAACCCACTCCTCATTTCTCTAGCTATTGCCAAGAAAACAATCTTTCAAAACTGGAAATCAAAATAATCACTACATATAAACCACTGGACCAAACTTCTGACAGAATACATCACATTAGAGAAAATGACAGCTTTTTATGACACATGGAACCATTTTTAACACATTTCAACTTGAACCAAACACCTGGAGCTGAGGCCACGCACATTCCCACCAACCTCTAGAAGTTTAACAAGCTGATTTTATTAGTAGTACTGTTATCATCATTATTATTGGTATTTATTTATTTATTTACTTCCCCTCCTTTTCCCTTTCTTGCATTTCATAGACTACATAAGTTTTGAAATACCCACACTTTACACACTACAACCTCGTTAAACACTCTGTATCCTTTTGTAATGTCATGTAACTGTTCTCTTGTCTCCCATGTTCGGTACTGTTTTGTTAATGTGTTACTTTGTTTCAATAAAAAAAAGAAAAAGGAGGGGCACCCGGCATAAAACACGTGCCAAATGTCAACATGTGAGTCATCAGTGTGACGATTCGCTGTGGCGACCCCTAAACGGGAAAAGCCGAAAGTGACTGCTACTCAGAATCATTTTTTTTATTTCAAGTTGTTAAATGATCACTTCATTAAACCGTCCCGATAAGGCCCATCTACACAGTGAATGTGGAAATGTGCATGTGTATGGTGTGGGGCTTTGCTTCCTCCTCTTCTATTTCATCTCCTCCCCTCCATGTGTTTATGTGTGTCTGTACATTAAAGTATATATTTCCCATCCCTTGCCCCGTCACAGCTGTTCGCTCTATTTGTTTGAGCTGTTCTTGATATTTCACATGGGCTATGCCTCATCTGGCATATGTTGACAACCCGCAGACAACCCTCGACCCTGGCCTCGAGTCTGTCGACACATATGAGCAGCAAGAGAGATCGGTCTGTCCTGTAACAATACACGGGCCACACTCTCTTCGCACTGTGATGCATCAGTGGCTTTTAGCGCTCCTGGTTGCAGTCAGTCCAAAGTTTCCTTTGGCTGGTTCATGCTCCCATGTAAAGAAGAATAACACCACGTCACCTAGTCATTCCTTTATTTTCATTTTATATGAATTTATTTTTTCCTTTAAAATGTGATCATCTCTTGATCAGAAATCAGCTTTGTGAGATTGTAATCTTGCACTGGTTTTGAACATTTTTGCTCCGTGGCCTGATGCAGTGCCTGTGTGATATAATGCAGAGTGCTGTATATAATAGTGTTGTATCCCACTGTTATAAGGTGGTGTGGGATGTGAAAGGGGTCGCACAGAGAATAATCACCTGATTCTCTTCCCCTCAGTCATAGCCAATTACTCCCCAACACTTCCTGCAGACAATCATGTCTTGTCTCTTAACATCTGACAACCTGCCTGTCACTGGTGGCTGTTCATTCGTGACCTCCTGTCACTGCTGGACAGCTGATTTTTATTACTAATTGATTCCTAGGTTTGTTGAATGCAGCCTACAGGAGGGATTTTTGTGTGTGTGTGGTTGCGGTGGGGGAATCTGACTGGCTGTTTGTTTAACACATGCCTTGGCTTACATTATAAGTGATCTTATAACACACACACAGAGCTGTGATCATCCTTTGACCTTCACAACCAGCTTACCACCTGTCCTGTTATTTCTGCCAATATTTCTGTTACTCCTTGTTCTCTCAGTTGTTCATTTTCATTTTTGGCATCCCATTTCTCCCGCAAATCATTCCTAAACTAATTGGTCTTTCTTGCCTTGTAATTGGTCTTTTTCATTACTTGTCTGTCAGTAACAAAAATAATCAGGAAGAGAGGAAAGGAGTAAATAAATCACAAACAGGAATGTGAGTTTTGGAGTAATTCCAGGTATTTTTTACATTTCACTATTTAATTTCAAATTTTTCCTCCTTTTCACCCACATGTACTGCACAAACAAAGCTGTGTATACAGAAATAAAAAGTTCTCATACTAGTACCCGAGAGGGGTTGAATGAACAAATAAATGGACTAGAGGGAGGTGTAACAAGCATTGGGTTGAAAGTGTGTCAGACACAGAGACCAAATAGATGGACAGGCTTCTGTAGTTTTCAAGCTTGTCTGCACACAGAAAGGTAAAGAGAAACTTCAGAACATTTAGGCTTTCAGCAGCCATTCATGCAGTCAGACTCAGCCTTTGTGTGCTTCTCATGTACCCAACAGTCAACTGGCAAAAGCAAACTCTCTTCCTGTACTGTGTGTGTTTGTGTGTGTGCATTTGCTTAAGTTTGCATACGCTTGCATTTGGTGTACATATGTTCTGTATGTGGATAAACACATATGTACCCATTTATTTATACTGTATGTACATAGTTATGTGATATGTACTTGTGTGCGTGTGAGGTGGTCCCACCCAGTCAGCCATTTGTGTGAGCACAAAACACAAGGCAGTTTGTTCCAAATTGATCGGCCCAGAACGGGTAAACACCCTCCCCAGAGAGCCTCACACACATGACCCAGCAGGCCTGTCAGCACCACTTAACATGACGATTCATCCTCTCGGTGGGATGTGTGTGTGTTTTCCTTTTTTGGATGTTCTCATGTGCACGTGCATGAATCTTTGTCTCCGTAAGTGTCTGTTTCTCTGTGCCCTGATTGCACACATACATTCAAAGCATGTACTGCCGTGTTGTGAGTGTGTATGTGCAAGCCCACAGTCCATGTGCAAGCACGTGTATGCTGATGATTAACTCACTGACCTATGCACTCAGCAAGGCCAGACAACACAGCCCGATGCCTTGGCTACATGGCCATGCATGGGAGTTAGAACAAAGATCAATAGTGTGTACCCTGGCACCCAATAAAGCGAACAGAGAAGTGGATATTAAACACAGTGAATAAACATTCCACCAGTTTGACAGGTCTGAGAAAATATCATCTTAGATTTTGTGTAGCTTTGAACGACATGAGAATTGAAGAAAAACCTGAGATAAACAGTTTTGTCACTCTTGTTGGATTAGGTACTATTTAAACTTATAGTAGATCATTTGTCCAGGACCTCTGTGGCCACCACTCATGCGACACCCTGGGCATGGCGGATGTAGGCACCATCTGCACTCCACAGAGAAGCTGCGCTGTCATCGAGGATGATGGGCTTCATGCTGCGTTTACTCTAGCACATGAGATAGGTAGGGATGGATACACAAACACACCAAGACATGCAGGTGCACATCTTGCTTGATGATGTCACACACCTGGTACCTGAGTTATCTTTTCTCATTTTTGTTGCATGAGCAAACTTGAGACAGGCTCTGTCCTTCCTCTCTTCATCCCAGGACACCTGCTCGGTTTGTCCCATGACGACTCCAAGTTCTGTGAGGAGCGTTTCGGAGTGAACAGCGACAAGCGGCTCATGTCATCTATCCTCACCTCCATTGACGCCTCCAAGCCCTGGAGCCGCTGCACCTCGGCAACCATCACTGACTTCTTTGATGATGGCAACGGTGAGTTGACAGGCAGGGGAAAGAGAGCAGTCATGCTTGTGAGAACTGTCCTCCCACAGCACCTGCCAGTGAGATCTGTTTACTATCAAACAAAGCTGATATCCCTCATAATATAGAGCTATTTACAGTCCTGTGAACTTCATAAAGAGTGTAGATGCAGTGCAGCCAAAATTAGATTCCTGGCAGGAAATCAAGATGAGTCATCTTATTTCATCAAATTGTTTCATTCATGACTGCCATAATACATTTCAACTAAACGATTCCATCACTTTCAGCATAATTCATGTAGTGACAACAACATCTCTGGATTGACAGTACCTGCTGCTGCTTAAGCACTTTGTTGAATGATGGCTCACACAGGCCAGGTTTGTCAGTAGACTAAAGTAGTTTTTTTTTTTTCTATGTCACAGCCGAGTGTCTCCTCGATTACCCTCGCCAGCCCCTCCTTAGCCCAGAGGAGCTCCCAGGACAGAGCTACGATGCCGTCCGCCAGTGTCGCCTGGCCTTCGGTCCCGAGTATACGGTGTGCCCAGGCATGGACGTCTGTTCTCGGCTGTGGTGCGCTGTGATCCGCCAGGGCCAGATGGTGTGTCTGACCAAGAAGCTGCCAGCAGTGGAGGGAACGCCCTGTGGGAAGGGACGCATCTGCCTGCAGGGAAAGTGTGTGGACAAGACCCGCAAGAAACACTACTCGGTAAGAGGGATAGATTGTATCAGGATAAGGAGACAGAAGGTGTTTGTCAAGAGAGACAAAAAGGACTCAAATACATTCCTTAAACTGATATTCAAAGTGCTCAAATCCACATTGTACAAACTTTGTGCATCAGTGAGGGAAAAGAATTAGAAAGTCAAAAGGAATGAAGAGTTTTCTTTGTGTTTATTTGTCACATGACCTTTTATAAGTGTGACTCAAACCTTGGCTGACAACTGCATGTGTGGACCCAAGTTCTTCCATGCTCCAATTCACACTGCCTTGCGTGACGACCACTTTCCTTATCAAAAATCCCTCTCTCCAAATGGCTTTCCTTGTGACACATGGCTTGACCAGCAACCACTGTGACTTCCAACATGTCTGATAAGCACTAATTGCCCTCTCTCATCTTCTCTTTTCTCCTAATTGCCCTCATACTCCCTCATCTTTCCTCTTCTGTCATTTCCCCCAACTTTTATCTCCTTTTTTTTTGCACTCCTCTCCTCCCACTCCCAGGCGTCCAACCATGGCAGCTGGAGCTCCTGGGGTCCTTGGGGTGTGTGCTCCAGAACTTGCGGAGGTGGGGTGCAGTTCGCCCATCGTCTGTGCAACAACCCTCCACCGCGGAACAACGGCCGCTACTGCACTGGGAAGAGAGCCATCTATCGGTCCTGCAGTGTGACACCGTGTCCAGCATTGAGTGAGTGTGACAGCCTGAGGATGCATGCATGATTAGAATATGACCATGAAAGGGATATTTATAACCTTAAGTTTTCATAACAGCAATATTTCAAGCTTATTTTACAGCACAAGTTCCTCATTTTAAATCTATTTTAATGGAACTTTTCCAGATAAAACTTTCCGCCAGGAGCAGTGTGAGGTGCGCAACGGTCCCCAGACTGATCCTAAAGGGGTGAAGACCTTTGTGGAGTGGGTACCAAAATATGCAGGAGTTCTCCCTAAAGATGTGTGCAAGCTGACCTGCAGGGCAAAAGGAACAGGATACTATGTGGTGTTCTCTCAGAGGGTGAGTTGGTTAAATAAATTATAAATAAAAAGGTGTAGTATATTTAATTTAAAAAATGTGGTGATATTGTGACTCTGTGTTCAGGTGGTAGATGGGACGGAGTGTCGTCCTTACAGCAGCTCAGTGTGTGTAAAGGGGAAATGTGTACGAACAGGCTGCGATGGCATCATTGGTTCCAAGCTGCAGTTCGACAAGTGTGGTATATGTGGAGGTGACAGCACAGGATGTATACGTGTCGTGGGCAACTTCACCAAGAAGAGGTAAGAAGACGAGGCTTGCTCTGTGCATTGTGCATCCTCGCAGTAATCAGCTGGCATGCAAACACTGACATTTGCGTTGATGTCTTTGAATGCAACATGCTTCTTCACATTATCTCTGACATGAGGTGGTGTTGTCATGCTTGCCTCCATTGTGCATCTGTTAATAAAATGTCTCTATTTAGCAGTTCTTTGACCCAGATCCAAACAACATGCACTTTAATTTTAATTGGGTGTAACAGCAAAGAAAATACTGTTTGACCTGATCTTTCCTCTGTCTCCTCTATTGCCAAACAGCAAGGGCTACACTGACATAGTGAAGATCCCTGCAGGCTCCACCCACATAAAGGTTCGTCAATACAAAGCCAAGGATCAGACCCGCTACACTGCCTACCTGGCCCTCCGACGGCCCAATGGCGAGTACCTCCTAAATGGCAAATTCATGATCTCCACCTCAGAGACAATCATCCTACTCAACGGTACTGTACTCAACTACAGTGGCTGGAGCCAAAGGGATGAGTGGCTTCACAGCATGGGGCCTGGGCCCCTCCAGGAAGCCTTGGTGATCCAGATTCTAGCAACAGATGCTAAACAGCCCCTGGATGTTCGTTACAGCTTCTTCATGCCCCACCGGACTCCTCAGCAGTCGCTGGCTCCGTTCATCCACAACCCAAAGTCTATACCTTTGCAGAGCACGACGACGGTCTCAACCACGACAAGAACCAGCACCACCACCAGTACCTCCACTACATCCTCCTCTGCTACCCCTACCCTGGTGCTAGGTCCATCTACAGTTCCAGGCCCCTCAACCCCAACCCCAGCATCCCAGTGGGTTACAGGTCCTTGGATGACCTGCTCCAGGACTTGTGACAATGGCTGGCAGAGTCGGACAGTGCAATGTAAGGATCCAGATGGGAAACTGTCCAAATACTGTATACTGAGCACCCGCCCCTCTGCCTTCAAACACTGTCTGGTCAAGCTCTGTTGAGGGTGTAGGAAAGGAAAAATGACCTGTAAGACAAGAAACAGTGTGTAGGGAGATCTGTGCTTCTGATAAAGGTCTCAGGTGCTGGAAGTAGGACTCATGAATGAACCAGTGAATTTAAGACAATGAACCTTAATTGGACATTGAATGTTGACAGAAAGGGCAGGACCTATTCACAGAGAGACTTGAACAGATTGGTATGGGTTATATTGAACAGGTTAACTTTTTGCCAGATGAACGTCCTGGGATCCTAGTAGCTCTGCAGTGCTCCCGTTCACAGAGGGCATGACTGTGGCAAGTATCACCCTGACATAGCGGAGGACTTCAGCTGCATGTTATTTACACATGGACTGTCTTTACTTCAGTTTCCAAACCCTGGAGGCCTAGTGTGCGTTGCCCTGTAATGTCACTTGTGTTATGTCTTTTGTATGCTGTGTTCTAATCACTGTGGGGATTTGGAAGTCACACCCCTTTTGTCTTTTGTCATGAGTGTGTCAGAGACAAGCGCCCCAGTGATGGGAAGCACTCGTTATTGTCAACTCTTCTGTCTGATCTACAACCACCATGCTATGTGTCAGGGTCCTGGATTGCAATGCGCCTTAACATGGCCGTTTTTGTAACTGAGGGGCACATAAAATTTGTTACTGAAAGAATACTGAAAATTCATTGGATGGTGGGTGATCTTTGTAGCAATGTTCAAAACAATGGCTCAGCAACAACAGGAACTTAGAAAGCTGTCTTCCACTAAAAATTACACAGGATTTTTTTTCATTACCAGCTTGACTTCTACTGACATTACTGAATAAAACAGTGGTCACCTTCATTACTTGCTAATATTTGTCTCATAAAGAACTGTACCAACCAGCCAGTGACTGAAATGTCAGGAGAAATGTTCAGGAGAAACACATACACATGACGGTTCTGGATCAGCGCTACCCACATACCCTGACTGTGAGTGTTCTCTGTCTCTGTTTGACTGATATTTCCAGTTGAAAACTGGCAAGCACAAGAAAATGGAAGGCAGATCATCAACTATTTTACTTGACAGTGCATTCAAAAGGAAGTCTTTGACTATGGTTTCCAGCAGGGTGATTTGACGACCAAGAACGAACAGGTAAACCCAGGCATGCTCTGCTCATGTTCTTGAGAAATTTCTCGTTTTTTGGGAAGGATTTTTACCCTAGACAAACAAGTCTACTGAATTTCACCAGTTCAGAGTATAAACAGCAGTGTGCTGGGGTGAAATAGAAGGGAGGGTATGGTGGCCTTCAGAAGACAAAACTCACAACAGTTAAATCGAAAAAGAGGCAATATAACCACGAGACTCCTTAACATTTAGGGAGGTTAACAATGAATCACAGGTTTGGGGAATTTTTTTTTTTTTAAATGTGTAAGTGTCTCTTTGTGTGCATGCTAGCACGTCCATGCACCCAGGCCTGTGTTTAAAGCACATACAATATGTACCGTGAATAAGTGTTTTGTTCGCTACTGCATCTTGAGGCTTCTTTATTGTCCAGTATGAGTTGTTACACTGGTGCTGGGAGGTTTACGGTCCTCGTGTTTTTTGCGGTAGTTAATATCTTTGTTTATCGCTTTAGGAAATGATACTAATTTGACAATGTGTGCCCAGGATAGTCACAATGCAGTCATTAATATCCTTTTGCAATTCAGTTATTTCTTCATTTTTCTTTTAATAACTCAGCCTCTGTTTTACTCTTACATCCTGTGTTAAAAAAACAAAACATGGTGGACATTACCACGGCTCTCATTGGCAGTAACAACATCTCTCTGTGTGGCAGATCTCACCCACCTGACACCCAACAAGAGAAAACAGCATGAGAAACATTTTCAGATACTACATGACGCAGGTCAACATACCACTCATGACTCACCTCCTGCCTCACACATTCTCATTTACTACACAATGTAGACATTTTTGAGCATGAATAGCTCTTTCATATATGTATTAGTATTCAACCATATATACACAGAAATTTACACACACAATTATACAATCCCTCACTCACAGTATTTGAACGTTTCAGACATGCACATACACTTACACAACCTACTCTGACTCTTCCAGTGGGGACATCGCTGAACGACAGAAACACAGCACTGAACTTGTAATTTATTGTTTGTACAACTGGTATGTGTGAATAAAAAAACAATGAGATGAGTTTTATTTATTATAGTAATTTTGTATCAAATTACTATTTAACATGGAATATATGACTGTGCAGACTTTCCTTTGTAAGAATAGTGTTTTTTTCTAGGCATTCACATGAATATATGTACATAAAATCTATATATTTAAAAACCTTTCTCTGTGTCTTTTATGTCTTCATTGTATTAAAACATTGATATTTTCTATTTATTATATGCGTTTTAGCAGATGTAAATGAGAGGCTTTATATTTAGTTTCAAACCATTTGAATTCTCAATGGCGTAGTTTAAGAATATGAAATAAAAGTTGAATTATTATAACAATTTTACTATGACCTGGATGACTGAGAAGCTGCATGGACATTATTCTAACAAACGTCTCACAGTTGAAATTAAACACTCAAAGATGATACAAGGACTCACACTGCATCAGAAAACAATTCTCCAAGAAGGGAAAACAGGAAAATGTTGAATCTTAATGAAGTCTTCATGCTATAACCACCAAATACTGACTAGACAAGTGAGTAAAAGTAACAATAACTCCACCATGTAAACATACTACACACACACACACACACACACACA